GAAAAAAAAATAACTAAAAAAATAATAATCTCTCACAGTCATCATCAGCAACAACAATACAATCAAAGAGAAAGTAAAGTATTTATCTTCTTTATTATTATTGTTATTATTATTTTCGTTTAGTTCTTGTATGCAAGGTGTCCTTCTTCTAAACTAAGATAAAGAGAGAAAAAAAAAAGAAGAAAAGAAAAAAAAAAGCCCCAAATGCTCACCAATACACCATTACTGCTGTTGAATAAACAATCCCGACGATATCAAACAAAACTCCGTCATCGTTTCCGTCAACCATCTGTGTTGCCCATTCGTCAAACCGCCCAACAGCGGCGAAATACAGTTCTTGAGGTTTTAAACCGCCGTCAAATCAATCCCGGCAATCACGCGGCCTATCACTATGTGGAACAGCGTTTATACTCCAAAGCCTCTCGTTTAGATCGCGAGGGGGTAAATCTCAACAAGACGTACGCCCTGCAGGGACTTGGGGATTTGGAACCCTTGCGGAATAGTGCCAACTTTGGTCTCTCAGAGAAGGAGGCATTAAAGTATGAAAGTTGGGAGGAACGGGCAAAGTATACACCTCCACCGGTTCCATTTACACCATTAGCCGCGAGGAAATTAGCAACTGGGGCTTTATGGCCATCCGCACCGGAACCAACGGGAATGATTAGTAAAGAAGTTCGTTTTCTTCGACATGAATCTAATATGTCTCCAAGTGCTCGTGTCTTTTGTGAACGAGTAGCCTATCATTTAAGAAGATCCTTAAAAGCATGTCCAGCTCATATTGGAGAACGAATAGATTTTGCTCAATTGATTATTCAAGAAGTATTAGGTTCACGTCGATCAAAGGAGATTTATATTGTTTGGTCTACTATTGATCCTTCTGCACGGTTTGAGATGGAGCCATTATTACATCAATTAAATCATTGGGTTCAACGATTGATTATTCAACGTATAAAGAATCGTCCACATATTCCTCGAGTATCATGGATTTACGATGGTGGAAGACTCGAACGGGAAATGCCGAGAGAGTTAAAGAGTGAATTAGAAAACTTTGCAGGAGAAACAACTTCCACGTTGGAGTCTCGTGTAAAGTATTTAAAAGAACTAGATACGATGAATCAAAGGATGAAAGATATTCCTTGGTTTATGCCATATTTGTGGAATAAGGAAGAAAAGGCTTCACGGCATAAAACGATGTTGGCAGATTTGGCAGAAGTGGATCGACGTAAACAACCGAAACAACAACAACAACGAGAAGGTGGAGGAGAAAGTTATGGAAGAAGTTCTCCACCACAGACAAGTCCTCCTCCGCAGTTTATTCGTTAAACTCTACACATACACA